GTGATCCGTCCCACAGCGCTGTATGGCAGCGAATGTTGGCCCAGTACGCGAAATGAAGAACACAAGCTTATTGTCATGGAGACACGAATGCTGCGGTGAACATTGGGTATCCCCCTGCTAGATCATGTCTGTGAAGACACAGTTCGTGCAAGGATGAAAGTTGCTCCCATTGTTAAGAAAATGCAGGAAAAACGACTGGGTACGGCCATCTAGAAGAAATGAGAATCACATCACAAGAATGGCCATGTCTCTGGAGGTCGCTGAAAAAAGACCACGGGGAAGACCAAAGATGTGGTGGATGGACAGAATTAGAGCTGACCTGAAAGAGCATAGAATAGACCAACATCATGCCTTGAATCGAGAATACTGGAGACAGTTGACTCGTACAGCAGATCCTACGTAAGCGGAAAAATGCGAAGGTAAAAAATCTTTGCCAAGCCTCGCCCTCCAAGCCCAGAAACCTTGGCACCCTGCCAAAAGTGCTTAAATTTGTCCAAATCAGTCAAAATTAGTGTCAAATAACAAGAAAAATCTGTAAGATGACTAAATGAAACACTAAGTAAAAAAAATAAGCATGAAATTTCGTGGATCTAACCCTTTGAAGGCAGAATCATTTCTTATTATGTTTCAAAACGCAGATTACTGAAGATCTAAGATGCGGAATTACTTACAATGATGAAGAAAACTTATAAGAATCAAGATTTCCTTACAACAGAAGAAAGTTTTCAGCAAACAGTGTAACATGAAGGTAACCTCTACTTCGTAAACGATAAAGAAAAAAAATCCAATTTATTTCAAAAACAAAGCAAACAATTAAAATTTTAGAGAGATGGTTTTACTAAACTTTAAAAAGTGATGAAAATTATTAATCTTTTCTAAACTCCGATAAAAACTCCGATTTATATCAATTCGAAAGAATCAATATGATGCGTTAAGGACCTTTCACATAAAATGAGATATCCGCTAGGCACGCCGGGTTAGGTGTCGACCTGCGTTGCAGGCCGAAAGTCAGAGCATTTGTACGACAGTCATTTTCTATTATGTTTCTCAAAAGTTAGTAAAAATTTTGCTGCATTGTTTCTCATTAATCATTAGGAGTAGAAGAAATTACATATGCTTGTTATAGGTGAGCTAGTCTCTAGATAGTAAACAACAAAATAACAATTGAACTCTTTTTTTCTAAAAGAAAGTTGAGTTTGGTAAAAAATGATGTTCGGAATCACTCAGAAAACGCTATACTGGAAGTTTTCATATTGATTCGCTGAGTTCAAACCTACATTTTGCATTACTTCCATTATGCCTCATTCCTGGCGTGCGCATTCCGGCAACGGAACGTTGACCCCTTTGAGGATGCGCGCATCTCACTGGATTAAATAATGATGTTCCAAGCACAGGCTCAACTTACAGTACTAATCAATGCGCAGCGAGACTTCTGACAGCTGAAACTAAGTACCCTCGCCTACCAAAGCTTAACTTAGAATACTTGGTCGTCATTGACAAATCTAACAGTTTATCTTCTATGTGTCGCCATGCAAATTCTGCTACGAACTAATCTAAGTGATGCTTCACCATCACCTGATAAGCTTGTTTAGGTAGTTGGCGCCTGCTCAGGTTAGACATTGGACATGCATAGTAACTCCGTGAAATACGGAAAGTATCATTACACTATCACCCATGTCAAAATTGAAACAGATAGACTTTAGAAGTAATTAGTAGGACACAGAACGTGATATAATATGAAGCAGAAACCCCTTGAAAAAGGAGGTACAGATAACGGAAAAGGAGCGGTTTTCGTTTTACTCACAAGCCACTCGCTAATATTATGTCGTTTTACTGATGATGGATGGGACTTCAGGTTTCTACAGTAAAACTTTGAACACCTTTTAGCTGGATAAAGCGGAAAAAGCCGCAGCAAAAAAGTACTCACCACGTTCCTTCTAGCTTCGCACAAGGACACTGATTGACTTTCTCGTCTATTTTTTTCGAACAAGGAAGCGTTGGGTTAGATGGATCTGGAGTACCACCAATACGAAGCTCCACTTCGGCAACAAGATTCCGTAATGGGCGGGTAATTTCAACACCTTGGAATCAACAGATCAGCATTGCGAAACATCTTCATACTCTTAAGCTTTTGAAATTACAGACAGTAAATAGCCCATTTTGGTTAGAGTGAGTGGAAAAAGAAGAAGAATAATGGTGCAAAATACAGCAACCACAAAAGCAACAACTGTGGGATTCGAGAAAGAGGACGCTAAGCAACAAACTATTGTTGCTCAAACATCCTCTTTCTCAAATGCCACAACTCTACGCTTCTGCGTTAGTAACATGAGACGTTTATTTAAACTCCTTTTACATTTAAACTATTGTTATTTTTTAATTGAGGAACTAATGGCCAACCTTCTGCCTTAATTTTTATGCAACCAGGGATCACTGGATTTTTCGGCACTAACTGGATCTTGTCCGGATTGAAACGAATCGAAGGACGGTACTTGTTCACATCGATCCCTTTTCGTTGTAAATATACTGAAATCACTCACAACAAGCTATAAAAGGTAAAAGTTGAAAAAAGGAGTGTCCTCTGAGATCTCGTATCATCAGTACTTTTATTGTAATGCGCAAAAATAGAAGAAACCTGCTGACGTCGCTCACTATGATTTCCTCCACACCCTTTTTTTGTCGAATAGAGTTGTAATAACTTCCCTTTATATAAGCTAAGCCTTTAAAATAACTGCAAGCTGAGTAATACGCGTGTGTCTTGAGATCTTTCTGGATGAGACAAAACCCTAAATCTTTTTCTAGCCTCTTTTACGTCGAATACAGACAATATTACAACTCCCAAACATGCTTTTAATCGAGATCTCTCAACTACCATAAGGAATCATTTCTGGCCTTTATTTTGCGTGAAACTGGTGATGTAAAAATCACATTCTTATGGGAATGTGCGCAGTTGATTAGCTGGTCATGAAGCTGACCAACTGTTTTTCTAAACTTTTTCCTTTTTGATATGTTAATCAGTAGTGGTGAAATCTACACGCTATCCAATTCAAAAACTGCTATTTTCGTGCTCGTTTTGCAAAATCACTTGCAACGTATTGCAACAAAACTCAAGCAGAGGTCATAGCTTAATATACTAAAAGTAACTAGAAACTTTCAATTTTAATAATTCTAAGAACTTTAGTAATCTAAAATGGAGTACCAGCGCTGCCGTGGGATCGCAATGATAATACG